TTAAACCAGGTTTAACCTCCTTAACTGGACCTTGAACCAGTTAAACCAGGTTTAACCTCCTTGAATGTCCAGTCAGTCACATTTAACCTTTAAACAGAACACACAGAAACACGTTGAGTTTTCTCTGCTGCAGCTGGACTCAGCTTCAGTCAGGATTCACAGAAAGTTTCTGCGCTGACAGAAACACCAGAAACTAAAAATACACAAATGCAACTTCAGCACTTTGACAGCAGAGGAGGAGGAGGAGGAGGAGGAGGAGGAGGAGGAGGAGGAGGAGGAGGAGGAGGGTTACAGATTAGGATGCTCTGCAGCACTGTTTGTCTGTTGCTCTCTGTCTGTCTGACTGTCTGTCTGTCTGAATCTCTGTCTGACTCTCTGTCTGTCTGTCTGACTCTGTCTGACTGTCTGTCTGTCTGTCAACCTGTCTGTCTGTCTGTCTGTTTATTTTAATCTGTCCTCCTCACATCTCTTCCTGTCTTGCCTAGCGACAGCATCATCCAGCTGATATGTGTTGCCAAGGCAACAGGCCTAGGGCTCGTCATCAAGGGCGGAGCCAACCGAGCCGAAGGACCAATGGTGTTCATTCAGGAAATCGTTTCTGGAGGAGACTGTCAGAAGGTGGGCGTGTCTGAGATCAACTCAACTTTATTTATAAAGACGTTATAATCACAGTTTGTTTTAATTTCAGCTGCTCGTTGAACTTTAAACTTTTTTCTCTATATTTGGTTAAAGTCACAGAAACCTTTAGGGTTTGAGCTTCTCATGAAACTAAAACCAGTTTTCAGTTCTGCCCTCGGGCTCAGTCTGAGAGGAGCTGACTCAAGAGCCACCTCAGACACACTGAGGGTCCAAAGACAACAAAAGAACCACATCCTCAGACCAGACAGGATCCTTGAAGTCCTCAAACCAGCCTATCCTGTCCATGAAGACCACAGACAGGGTCAGAGATCAGGACCAGTCCTGGTGGACTCCATCCTGGACCAGAACAAGCCTGACTTGGTTCAGTTCTGAAGGGACCAGATGGGCACCGTTCCTCCTAAATCTGAGGTTCAGCAGTTGGACCTTCCCTTTGACACCCTGCAGTAAACTGTCCTGGGGGGCGAGAACTGTGGTCCTTTAATAGCTGGAAGAGACTCTGTGGCCCACTTTTAAAAAAATGGAGACCTCCATCCAGGTCCACTTCTCCACAGGTGTTGTCCTCATCCATCCATGAGACACTGGAGAGACATCCAGGCCCACAACATACAGAACCTTCAGCACCTCAGGGTGGACCTTATCCATTTTAACCATCTCAGTGACCTCAGGTCCTCCCCTGCCACGCCCAGAACCTCCTTCAGGCCAACTTAGGGTTCTTCCCCAAAGTCCTCCCAGACCTGAGTCCTTCTGAGTGCCCTGGGTCAGATCATCAGACCATGGACCAGAGTTAGCCAACCCTGACCCGTTGGGTTTGTTCAGTTTGTAAAAAAAATCTGACGTCACCATGGAGTTCAGCCGGACCACTGGAGGTCCACTTCCTGTCCCACCCACATCCTCTGTCTGTGACGTCATGGAGGAGCCAAGATGGCGTCCAAAGAGGGCAGAGGTTCACAGCAACGACACAGCCAGCCCAACTGGACCTGTGGCACTAATTATTATTAATCTTTTTACAATAAATAACTGATAATTAATGTTAATTTTATTTAAAAATAATGTAAAACAGCTGGATGATGTATAAAATATACAGTTTATATTTAATGATCTGAGGTCAATCAAGAACAACTACTCAGAAATGACATACAAACGTTTTACATACAGCTTTGGAAGAATTCTTATACTGTGTATTATAAATTATACAACTGTATATTATAAATTTATATAACTGTATATTATAAATTATATAACTTTTGTTTATTATTATTGTTTTGTAGTCGACACTTGTTGAATGTTTTCTGCAGCCCTGGAGTTACTCTGAAGGATGAAACTTACTGATATATGTATTAACTAACATCTTCTCAGCAGGTCAGGTTTGTGTGATGGAAACATAAAAAGAGTCACAATACTTAATATTATTTTATACAATGTCAATAAATATTTAATATTATTCCACATGATGTAAATAAATATTTAATATTATTCCACATGATGTAAATAAATATTTAATATTATTCCACAAGGTGTAAATAAATATTTAGTATTATTCTACATGATGTAAATAGGGCCCTGTGATGGACTTGAGACCTGTCCAGGGTGTCCCCCGCCCCTCGCACAGTGACTGCTGGACATGGGCACCGGCGACCCCCATGACCCAAAATGGAAGAAGCGGGTAAAAGATGATGGAAGGATATTATTCTATATAATGTAAATACAAATTTAATATTATTCTAAATCATGTGAATAAATCTAAAAAAGTTAAATCTGGTCCTCTGGACATTAAAAAAACAAAACAAAAAAAAAACAACAAAACAACAAAAAAAATGTAGAAACGTTTCGTCTTTCATCCTGAGGACTTCCTCAGTCTGAGGAGCTGTATTCAGCTCAGTCTTATAAATAGCACCTTCTCAGAGTGGATCAACCAGTTTTGCTGCTGACAACCAGAACCAGCTGATCACATGCTCAAGAAGGACCATCAGCCTAACAATGGATCATTAGCACCTGATGGCTGTTTACTGTTCACAGAGGGCTGAGTGATACTAGCAATCACAGCATTGTAAGAGGGGGACAGTTGAACCCGGAGGCTCCACCCCTGTTTACTCTTTCAGGGATGAAGATGTTCACATCCTGGACAGAGAGGAACGATGGTTTGAGAGAGGAGTAAAGGAGGCCATCTTTGTGAAAAGAAACCGTCCATCATTAAACAGGGGTGGAGCCTCCAGGTTCAACTGTCCCCCTCTTACAATGCTGTGATTGCTAGTATCACTCAGCCCTCTGTGAACAGTAAACAGCCATCAGGTGCTAATGATCCATTGTTAGGCTGATGGTCCTTCTTGAGCATGTGAGCAGCTGGTTTTGGTTGTCAGCAGCAAAACTGGTTGATCCACTCTGAGAAGGTGCTATTTAAGAGACTGAGCTGAATACAGCTCCTCAGACTGAGGAAGTCCTCAGGATGAAAGACGAAACGTTCTTACATATTTTTTTTTTGTTTTGTTTTGTTTTTTGAACGTCCAGAGGACCAGACTTACCTTTTTTAGATTTTTCTACCTGGATTATTGAGCATTCTTCAGGATGTAAATAAATATTTCATATTATTCTAGAGGAAGTTAATGTGCCGTGAATCAGAGGCAACAGCAGACGGTGCTGTTTAATAATTGTAGCATGATCGTCACGATGAGGAACCAGATCTGTTAAAGTGAAAATCTACGAGGTGATCGATAATTAACTTTACAGAATAATTTACATTATTTTAAATTAAACGGGTCCATCATGATGAGCTGCAGATGATGACATCGAGTCACATCAAGTAAAATAAGACCAGACCTGAGGACTCGTGGGTCACTGAGTGTCAGAACTTTTCTGCAGAATCTTTAAAATAAGTGGGACCACAGCACAGTTTTAAAGAGTCTGGTTCCAGTTCCTCAGCCAGAGACCGTCTCGTTGGTGTCCTTCTGTTTCAGGACGGACGGCTGCAGGTGGGGGACCAGCTGGTGTCCATCAACAAGGAGTCTCTGATCGGGGTGACGTACGAGGAGGCCCGGAGCGTCCTGACACGCACAAAACTCAGGTCCGACCCACCAGAACCTTTTACCTCCACACAGAGGAAGGTCCGAGTCCACAGAAACCAACCGTTTGTCTCGTGCTGCAGACCGGACCCCACGGTGGAGATCGCCTTCATCAGACCCAGGTCTTCCTCCAGCTCCAGCAGCGGCTCCCACAGCCCCGTCTGCCCGCAGGGCTGTGGAGGGGGGCCCCAGGCGAGGGGCCCCGGGCCGGGCCCCCCCTTGCAGCCGGCTGTGGTGACTAAGATCACATCAAGCAGAAACCCAACGTGTGAGACGCTGCCGCCCGTCAACATCAGCCAGGTCTGAGACACGAAGACGTTGGACGTCCCCAAGTCGTGTTTCAAACCTGAACACTTACATGTAGTTTCTGACAGAACCGACCCGTTTTCCTTTTTATAGACACTAAGAACCACGATACTTTACAGCTGAAACATTTAAAACTGTAAAAGTTCTGTTCATCTGTTTCTGAGCAGAACCTGAACCTGGGTCCAAACGTGTCGTTCCTGCAGGTTCGTGTGTCTCCGAGCAGACTGGACCAGACTGCTGTCCCCTCGTCCCCTCAGAGTGACAGCAGCAACGAGACAAACCCAGGTGACTGTCCCCTGATGGAGATCAGAACCTGCTCGTTGTTCTGACGGGTCACTGGACGTTTCCTCTGTTCGTCTGCAGCTTAATCCTTGAAGAGCTAGAACCAGAACATGGTCCAGTTGTGTCCAGTCCTGGAGGACCACTGTCCTGCAGGGTTTAGTTTTTGACCTTCAGCAGGTCTTCATGTTCTGCAGAAACCCGTCAATCACTCGTTGGTTCAGATCAGGTGAGTTGAAGCAGAGGAACCTCTGAAACCTGCAGGATGGTGGCCCTCAAGGGCCAGGATTTGGACCCTCTGGTTTCCATCAATGTTCGGTCCCGCTGAGCCGTCCTCCTCAGGTCTGAGCTCAGTTCTTGTGCTCTGGATTTAATAGATGGAAGTTTTAACTTTTTAACATTTAACAAAGTTTAACGTTCAGATGGCCACGCCTTTGTTTGTTTTTATTTTGTTGTTTATGTGTTGTCAGATAAACGTGACCGGTCCTGACAAACCCTTTGAAGCTTTCAAAACCTTTTTCATTTAAACTCTGTTTATTATCATCAGTTATAAATGACCAGTTTAAACCTGTTTACATCATAAAGTGATAAATAATAAATAAATCTGATTGATCTCATCATAAAGTATGGTTTTCCTGTCAGCTCCTCCTCCTCCTCCTCCTCCTCCTCCTCCGTCTGATGATTAAGCTCTGCCGACATTAAAATAAATCACATTTAAGAACCTCCAGCGGGCGACGACTCGTGGAGGAAAAACTAAAAGTTTTAAAAATCCACCCCCCAAAAATTAATTTTAAAAAGCTGCGGGGTTCATTTAACAAGCTAAATAAAAACATTTATGTTTATTATTTTATTTAGCAGAGATAAAAAAAAATAAAAAAACTACTAATTTATTGTGAATGAATATTAAAAAGTTACATTTTGGTGGACATTTGTCCTGACCAACAATAAAGTGTCAGAAAGTCAAAGGATGTCCTCAAGGTCAAAGGTCAGAGAGAAAAGGCTCAACAGTCGTCGTGCTTCTTTATTGTTCTTTTATTGTTTATTGTTCCTTTGTTGTTTATTGTTCCTTTATTGTTTGTTTATTGTTCCTTTATCGTTTGTTGTTCTTTTATTGTTTATTGTTCCTTTGTTGTTTATTGTTCCTTTATTGTTTATTGTTCTTTTATTGTTTATTGTTCTTTTATTGTTTATTGTTCTTTTATTGTTTATTGTTCCTTTGTTGTTTATTGTTCTTTTATTGTTTATTGTTCCTTTATTGTTTATTGTTCCTTTATTGTTTATTGT